ACGATTAATTAGATGGGTTATTCTAATGCAAGAGTTTGATTTTCAAGTTGTGAATATGAAGGATACTGATAATCAAATAGCTGATCATTTATCAAGGCTTGAAAAGAAAAATGATAATTTTAGAGATGAAATTAATGAATATTTTTCTGATGAACAATAATATGGAATTAATGAATGACAAGTTCTGTGGTATGCTGATATAGTAAATTATTTAGTTAGTAATATTTTTACCCTACGGGCTTGATAGCCATCACACTAAAAAGTTCATTCATGACTCTAAATATTATTTTTTGGATGATCCTTATTTATATAAACAATGTAAGGACTTAATTATTTAAAAATGTGTACCAAATGAAGAAACTCAAGAAATTATGCAAAAGTGTCATAAATCTGAATTTGGGGGACATTTTGGGGTTGATAAAACTATATTTAAAATTTTACAATCTGGATTTTATTGGCCTACACTATTTAGAGATGTTAATTATTATATAAAAAACATGTGTAAGATGTCAAAGAGTAGGTAATATTTCAAAAAGAAATAAACCGCCCCTAAATTTTAGTCTTGAAGTTCAAATTTTTTATATTTGGGGTTTAGATTTTATGGGACCATTTATACCATCTACTGGAAAAATTTATATTTTAATAGTTGTCGATTATGTTTCAAAATGGATTAAAGCGATTGCTTTGCCTCGATGTGATGCTAAAACTACAAAATTTTTAAGGAAAAAATTTTGTTACAAAATTTTTAAGGAAAAAATTTTGTTACAAAATTTGGAATGTCGATTGTAATCATTACAGACGAAGGAAGTCATTTTAAGAATAGAATAATTGAAACAAAAACTCAAAAATATGGAATCAAACATCAAATTGCTACAGCTTATCATCATCAGACTAGTGCTTTGCAGATGTTTCCAATCGATAAATTATGAGAATATTGGAAAAGAGTGTAAATCCTAATTGAAGAGATTTGTCTCCTAGCCTTGATCCTGCATTATGGGCTTATAGGACTGCTTACAAAACTCTTATAGGAATGTTACCAGATCAGCTCATATTTGGAAAACTTGTCATTTGTCTGTTGAATTAGAGCATAAAGTTTATTGGGCAATAAAAGAATTTAATTATAATCTGAAAGATTCTGGAGATAAGTGATTATTGCAATTAAATGAGCTTGACGAGATGAAAATGAATCTTATGAGAATACAAGACATTATAAAGAGAAAATGAAAATGAGGCATGATCAAGGAATTTTGAAAAAGCATTTCAAGCTTGGTCAAGAAGTTCTATTATACAATTCAAGATTGAAATAATTTCTAGAAAAACCTAAGTCCAGGTGGTCAAAACTATTTATTGTGATAAGAGTTTATCCAAATGAAGTTGTTGATATTGAATATCCTATGACTAGAAGGATAATTAAGGTAAATGGAAACATGTTAAAAGCTTATATAAGTTGAGATAACCCTACATTTAAGGAGATCTTAATATTGGGTCAACCATATTAAAACATTTGATATGTCAGGCTAACGATGTTAAACCAAGTGCTTTGTGGGACACTACCCATAGTTATCGGTATGATTGACTTGATTCTTGATTTTTGTTGTGATGAGTTTTTTATGTAAGTTGAAGTCTTACATGATTATGTTGGCACAAAACATTATTTTATTAATGGAATTGAAGATTGGAAGAAAGAAATTTGGAATTTGAGAAAGTTGGTCTGGCGCTATAGCGCCAGATCTAGCGCATAGCGCCACAGTTTGAGTAACTTCTTTGGAACAACCAAAGTTCAGTTTTCTTCCCTCTTTTTTTCTATAAACTAGCCTGGGACGGGAAGAGAAGTGTTCTTTCGACTTTTCTTAGCATTTTGGTGAGATTTGAGAGTGGAGAAATCAATTTCTATTTTAAGGATTATGGAGAGCAATGATAATGGGAGATTTGAAGATAAGAAGATGGCGTGTAAGGATGCTCAGACGTATTTCAATGAATTTATTGCATTGAGTTTGTAGCGGCTTATGGACAAACTTGGGAAGATTGAAGGTGAGATCTTTCAATTGCACACCAAACTTAAAAACTTGTTCCATCAATATGAGCATTTGGATTCGCAGTTGAATCTCCAATTCAGCAATTTGACATGTTTTCAAGATTGTCAGGTGACATGTATAACACAAATTAGTGGATGAGAAATTGGCTTCAGAATTTCCTCACACTCATTTCTATCATTCCTACGATCAAAATTAATTGGTGGGTGCACAGAAGAATGACACCTCTGATCACAACTAGGTCTAAAGAGATTCCATAGAGAGCTAAATGTGTTAGTGATTCTAAAGAGATTCCATAGAGAGCTAAATGTGTTAGTAATTTGTTCTTCTGTGTAGTGTGCCGATGTTGTCTTTGTCAAGGCATTTGAACTTTTAGATATTGTGTTTGTGTTGTATTGACCTTTTATCTCTAATTTTTTTGTGTCGTTTGTATTAAAAAGATTATTAATATAAGAAAACCAAATCTGTGTTGTTATTAAACGAAGACCATATTTGATGAATTGAGTATTTGAATCTTAAGCTTTGGAATGTTGTCAAACCAAAAATGGCCATTAAAACTGGAAAGCTAGACTTTAAACGTCTTAGATTTTTTGTTCTCAGTCATGATATAAAAAATCGTAAAATTTTAGGTGCATTTGAATGACACTATAGCGTGGAGCCAACCTGAGAGCAGGTTTTAGGGCCTGAATTGCCGGTTGACTCTATTTTTGACCTTGGTTCGTCTTCTTCATCTACTGTACATTTTTGCTCCCCTAAGGCTTGGCTTTGTGCTTGATTCACTTTGAGGAAAGACTTTAAACTCTAGATTTCATCATCTTTGGGTAAGATTTTCATCTTTGCTCTGGAAATTTTTTATTTCACCATGGATTTCTTCCACATGTTGGGTATAGCTGAAAATTTCAAAACTTGGTCGAAATGGTAAGAAATTTATGGGTGAATGATTATTTAGTTTAGAATATGTTTGTTGGAGGCTAAAAATCATATAATTAGGATTTATTGGAATTTTATTTGGAATTTCTAGATTTTTTTCATGCTACTAAATGGAAAAGAGGAGAAGGAAAGGGAGTTTTTGATGCTGATAAATTTGCGAGCATGAAAGCATAGGACCGGTACAACAATCTGCAATCTAAAAAATTGATTGCAGAATGAAGTTTCCTTCGTCCTGGTGGAACGATAGAATATATGATTACAGATCGATAGTGGGAAAGTTTTGCTATTTCACTGTCGTTGCTGTGATTTCTGTAGTTAGAGAATTATACACAAATTTACCTAATGATTTAGTTTATGTGAGATGGCAATATGTGGATATAAGATCTGCTCAGATAAATCACATTTATAAGTTGCATAGTGTTCCTACTTGTTTCTATTCTGAGTTTCATCCTACTGAAGAGGAATTGAATGAGATTATGCAATTTTTTACTGATTGTAATGGAGTATGGAAGATTAAGAATGGATGTCGGGTAAACTCTTCTTTCTCGAAGCTAAATGTTCATTCTAATGCCTAACATTATTTTATTTATATTAGCTTGCTTCCTACTAATCACTTCAGTGAGGTAACTCGAGAAAGAACCACATTGAACTATTACATTCCGATGAACAAATCAATTGACATTGGCTCTTTAATTTACAAGTAAATGGTTATTTGTCCCTTGAGTGTCTTTTTTGTGATAATGTTGAAACATATTTTGTTGTTTGTTTCTAAGGTTGTTATGACTTCTTAATCGTATGAAATTCTGCAATTAAAGTTATCACACAAATTTTATAAAATGAAGAATCACATATCTTTGGTGGTTCATGCCTTCTGAGGTCGTGCCCTCTCAAATCTATGTCTTATAGAAGCTTGAACCGGTACCTACTAAGGTTGGCGACCTTCTGAGGTCTTTGATGTACCTGAGCCTTCTGAAGCTTGTAGTCTTGTGAGGTCTTTGATATATTTGTGCCTTTCGAGGCTTGACTTCCTAGAGCACCATAACTTCCCATCAAGTCTTGTCCCCTAGGCTCAACTTTTAGGGGTATGGTTGAAAGAAAATTTTATTAAGGATGTAAGACTAGTTCTGAGTTATATAATAGGAGATACTTGACGGTATTAACTCATAATGAACATATTCATATGAAATTCACTGAGGATGGTTGGTCGATCCTAGGTTGTTGGTCGAAGCCTTTGTTTGACGACTGTAACCTATTATGGAAGAGGTCAAAAGAAATCCACCATGAATTTTTGACTTATCAAAGGATGTATGGAGAAACTTTTGTTTAATGACTGTAGCCTCTAATAGAAGAGATTAAAGGAAATCCACAAAGGATTTTTGATCTATAAAAGGTTGTATGTCAGAGCTTTTTGTTTGACGACAGTAGCCTGTAATGGAAGAGGTCAAATCGACTCCACTTGAGAATGATTAAGCCTAGAATGATGTGTCAGAGATACTTTATATTTCTCGAGATTAGGGCATAAATCGCAATAGACCGTATGTTTTCAACAATAACTGATTGGTGAGGTATCAATTCAATAACTGAACAGATCTAACCTTTGAAACAACGCTAGTTAATTTTAGAGTTATTATATGAGAACAAAAAATTTCATATATAAACGTATTAATATTTATGCATGTCGGCTTTTGCGTAAGATTTTGACGTGGAGCAAATATTCTAAATTAATGATGGTTATATTTTAAACTTTCTATTAATATTGATATAAATATAATATAAAAAATAAGCATTAAGTTAAAATTTTGTATTTATTTATAATAAATTTAAAATTTTACTATGACTCAGTTTGATCAAATACTCAGCCAACCTTAAAAAAACAATATTTGAATTATATTTGAATAAATAAATCAGAATTTCTAATTAATCCGACCTTGATTTCCACTTCAGCTTTTAAATGTCAATTCTTACCAACTAATTTCAACGCACCGTTCAATTTTACGTGCAGCGCCACTATAAATAAAAATTACACCATCTCGGCCGTTGAATCTGGTTGAAATTTCATCGGACCAGTAAGGCCGTAATCCATTGTTCCCCTTCCATCGCTACTATAATAAATCATCCAGATCCGAAAGTCTCCTCTCTTCCCTCCCCCTCTCTCCTATCTCTACCTCTCTCCTCTCTCTCCCTCCCTTCCGTCCGGTGATGGCTATTGGCGGCGGCGAAGATGATCGTCTCATTGTGAGTTTCGGCGAGATGCTGATCGATTTCGTACCGACAGTATCGGGCGTATCGCTTGCGGAAGCGCCGGGGTTCATAAAGGCCCCCGGAGGAGCTCCGGCGAATGTGGCCATCGCCGTCGCTCGCCTCGGAGGCCGATCCTCTTTCATGGGAAAACTCGGCGACGACGAGTTCGGCCGCATGCTCGCCGCGATCCTACGTGACAACGACGTTTCTGACGAAGGCGTTACTTTTGACGCCGGTGCGCGCACCGCGCTAGCTTTTGTCACCCTCCGTTCCGATGGCGAGCGGGAGTTTATGTTCTATCGTAACCCTAGCGCCGATATGCTTCTTACGCCAGCTGAGCTCGATCTCGACCTTATCCGCAGGGTTCGTCAGACTCCTCCCCTTTTCCCCTTTTTCATGGATTCTAGATTTTTCTTCTTAGATCTTTTGTCGAAACAATGCTTTATAATTTTTTTATTTCCACTAATGCCCTTTGATACATTCTATGGTTCTGAGTGCTAAAACTACCTTGGCCTTTCCAGAGTCCAAATCCTTTTTATTTATTTATTTATTTTCATGTAGGCTTTTATTTTGAAATAATGCTTTGGCTTGATTAGTTTTTATAGATCTATATGTCACTTTGATGGATCTGTGTTATTTAAATGGTTGACGTTCATTTTCTGAAAAAGGTTAGCAGAGCCCCTTTTGAAATAGGGGAGCTGATTATGTTATTTCCATGGGGGAATCTTCCTGGATCCCGGCTTTAAGTTTTATTGAAATTTAGGCTAAAATTGTTGTGCTTCATAAACTATTCGTTCATCAAATCCTATAAGGAATTCCTCATAGAATTTTTTTTTTTAAAACAGTTTATTGGCATTAAATTTTTTTTTTTCCTCAACTTCTATGATCAAATGTCTGCAATAGATCAAATCCTATAAGGAATTCCTCATAGAATTTTTTTTAAAAAAAAGTTTATTGGCATTAAATATTTTTTTTTTTCCCTCAACTTCTATGATCAAATGTCTGCAATAGACTCAAATTTCTTGTTGAATGCAATAAAAAAATGCTGATCTACGAGTAAGTTTCTTTTGTAGAGATTTGTGAATAAATTACATAAATTTCACGTATTTTGGCTATTTTTTATTCATAAGAAAGTCTGAAAATGTTAGATATGTACATGATCTTGTACAAACCTAAATTTTGAGGCGAAAGTGGCCCCTTCAATATTTTTGAGACTTTCCTTATAGAAATTTTTTCTAAAAAGAAATGCTTATAGATGTAAATTTTTCTTTGTGACTACTAAAATCTTAAGATGACTTGATCAATGAGTTTTGTTTATGTTGGTCTCTGTTTTTCTTTTGAGCGGTGCTCTGTATCTAGTTTGTATGTTTGTATGATTTTCTAATGAATGCATCAATTTTTTCTTGATGCATTGGTCCAATGGCGTGAATAAAAACGATTGTGATTTCAGAAAGGGGAGGTTTTGAGAAGGATTTATATTGAAACTTCAATGAAGTATGGAGTCAATTTCATGAATATGATTTGTGAAATGCATGGATAAAATTGGTCTTTTAATAAGAGATATTTATAAAATTTGACTTCTAATAGGCCATTTATTTAATGTTTGGTCATTCTTATTTTTTTAATGTTTTGATGTATTTTAATCTTAATGAAAAATGATGATAATTCAACTATGAGTAATTTTCACCTATATCACATAGATAACATATTATATAATACGGCAGATGAAAAATAAATTTAAAAGGATTCTCTTGGTAGAAGGAGAAAAATTCATCTCGTCTTTTTGGGTGAAAATTTATCAGATGCTTGTTTTGTAGCCTAGTGAGCGAGGTAGCAGGGTAAGCTTTATGGTAGATTTTCAATATAATATTTCATACATGTTTACGAAGATGGAGCAGCCCAGGGCTATGGGGACCATTTGGAAGGTTGGTGAACGATAAAGCCGTGTACTTTTATTTATTTAATTATTTGTTATTATTGTTATTATTTTGGAGGGATAAAGCGGTGTCCTTTTTTTTCTTTGGGTGGGGAATAAAGCCGTGTCCTATTAAACACTTATTGGCAATGCTTAAAACATTGCATCCTTTGTGAAGCTTTATAAATTTATGTATTGGCATTTTCGTCTGTCTTTTTTATTTTTTTTTTGATTTTTTGCAAGCATATTGGCAATGCTTAAAACATTGCATCCTTTGTGAAGCCTTATAAATTTATGTATTGGCATTTTCGTCTATTTCTTTTTTTCTTTAGGATACCTCTCTCTCTCTCTCTCTCTCTCTCTCTCTCTCTCTCTCCAATGAATCTAATAAAAATCTCATGCGCAGTCATATTCACTACGCAACCCAACCATTAAGCCAATATGAGCTATATAGGAAATACGCCTTTAAAAAATAAAGCATTTTGTAACTTATTTTGATGGGTGGGGGTGGGGGTGCTTTATTTTAATGTTTTTTATAAAGGAGAGTGACATTAGACCATTGAGAGTGCGAATTAATTGTCCATGTTGAAGTATTTAGTAATGAACATACGTCATACAAAATAAATTAATCATGGGCATCACAATGCGACGATGGATCAGGGTTGGTCTATTAACTATAAAGTTGTGGTTATATTTTTTGTTCCTTTAGTGCATGCTTATGGAGTTATTGGTTGCACTAAATTGTTCAATTTGTATCCGAGCAGAAGTCACGGGTTCGAATTCTAGCTACGCAATTGGGCAGGTGGATGATAGAGGACCGTAAGGAGGACATGAAAACAATTGTCATATCTTTTACCAGTGCATGGTAATTGAATAAGTAATGGACTTTAAAAGATTGTCAAAAGGATAGTATAACTTTTGGTTACCAATTAATTTAGTTGGTAAGAGTGTTGGAAGTTGTCACAAAGGTTTTGGGTTTGATTCTTGCCTGCACGATAATAAGCTCTCACCATACATACTTTTATGTTGGTATAAGAAAAAAAGGAGTGGATTGGATAACAATTGTTGTCTTTTGAAATTCTATGGTAGATCATTGTGGTATGGGCTTTCATGCAACCTATATTGATGATCAAGTTATATAGCGTGCTTGTGAATCATGGGTAGTTTATATATGTTCAATTCGAGCTTGAGCCGAGTTGAACATGTATGTTGGGACTTGGCTTGCTTAAATATTTATCATATAAGATTAGTAAATAAGCTAAAAATTCAAATGGATACTTGATTTATTATATAAATTTATTAACAAATAATATTGCAAATCTAGATAAATAAGCACTTGAATAAAATTTAAATTAATATATAACTAGTTCATACCAAATAAAATAATATATAAATTATAAGTGCAATTAAAACAACATAAGTAAGTATTAACAAAATAGTTCATCGAAATTAAAAAATAAAAAGAATTTGCATTAAATTTTTATGCACATTGATTTTAAATTTTTAATATATTACTATTCAATATATAATTAAATAAATATTATTTAATCAGTTTTTATTTGACTAATATATCATATTAATATAGGACATTTAACATGTTACTCATTGAACAATAAATGAGTTTGTTCGTGAACATTAATAATCAAATTTAATTATTTTCAAATATGGTGCATTTTACTTTTAAGTTGTAAAAAAATGTTCAAACTTATTTATATATTAATTTGAATGAACATGGTCGAGTATTGGTCGAGTCAAGGCTTGAGTTGTTCATCGATTGCATTAGTTATTTTACAACCCTCATCCTAATTTCTCTCTTTAGGGTACGGTATAGGTCTCATTTTTTATTTTCTTATTGAATTTTACATCTAATCTTAGACAATTTTTTATCTTGTCCATGGCCAAATATCAAGGAAAACAGCTGTTCATATTACTTAAATGAAGGATTTGTATTTTTTTTGTCTGGTTCTCTCCTTTCCATGAACAAGTTTCAAGGAAAACAGCTGTTCATATTACTTTAATATAATATTTGTATTTTTCTTTTAATTTGTTAACTTCGTAACAAAGGATTGTGTAATTAAGAGCCAAAAATATATATAAAAGAGGCTTTTCTCTCAATTTAATTTCTTGGTTTGCTGTTGAATAAACTTTTCTTAAATATAAATGTGATTAAATTGATTCATTTTTTTAAAGGTTTTGGCACGTAAATACTGCCATTTTTTCTGGTTTATTCTGTACCCATTTTACTGGAAACTAAAAATCTGTAATCGGTCATCATACTTGAGTCTATGCTTGCACAGGTTAGGCATCGACTTCCATCCACAGCAATCTGTATTTTCCATGGAACTATAAAGTTTTGTGAGAATTTGAAGCAAAATAAATTATTTTCGTGTAAAATAACTTTATCTCGATGTTCTTACTGCGCATTTACGGTAGGATGTACCTGTGTCTATATTGTTCGTTGATGATATCCTTCTTGTGGATAAGTCTAGGGAGAGTGTTCAGGAAAAAAAACTTAATTTATGGAGGTCAACTTCAAAATATAAAGGCTTTTTGTTCGAGTATATCTAAAACTGAATACATGGAATATACTTTTAGTAATAATAGATTTAGTGGCGGGATTGTAATAATTAGTGATCAATTCATTAAAAAGAGTGAACTTTTTAGATATCTCAAATTTATCGTTCAAAGTGATGGTGATATATATGAGAAGTTATTAGTAGAACTCAAGTTGGATGGTTGAAGTGGAGGAATGCATCTGGGCCATTGTGTAAAAGAAAAGTACGACTTGGGCTTGGAAGAAATTTTTATAAGATGGTGGTGAGAATTGCAGAATGTTGGCCTGTAAAAGAGAAACAGAAAATTAAGATAAGAGTTCTTGAGATTGGAATGCTCAGGTGGATGAGTGGTCATATACTTGGAGATAAAATGTGAAATGAATATATCCGTGAAAGGGTTGGAGTTAACTCCAATGAAGGGCAAGATTAGAGAAAGCCACCTTAGATGGGTTGATCAGGTTAAATATCGACCATTTGATGACCTTGTTGGGAGAGAATAATGTTTTAAGATTGAGTTATGTTAAGAAAGATAGAGGTAGACCTAAAAAAGACATGTGCATGTTGTATAAAAGTTGATCTTAATTTATTAGAATTAAATGAAAATATGACATTCAATAGGACAAAATGGAGAAAGATGATTCATATGGTCGACCCCACTTAGTGGGACAATGGTTTGTTGTTTTTGTAAAATAACTTTCTCTTTCATTTGAATTAATGCTTATTTCCTCATAAATTTGTTGCATGGTTAATGTGATCGATCTGTTGGACTTATTTTGCAAAAATTCCATAGGTCTCTATAATCTATAAGTGTTCTTAAAATATCATCTGAATGCTAATATTGTCTTTTCACTGTTTCACAGGCGAAAGTCTTCCATTATGGATCTATAAGTCTAATCACAGAGCCATGTAGGTCAGCTCATTTAAAGGCCATGGAGGTTGCCAAGGAAGCAGGACTTCTACTCTCTTATGACCCAAACCTTCGGCTACCATTATGGCCTTCTGCAGCAGAGGCGAAGGAACAAATTTTGAGCATCTGGGATCAGGCTGATATCATTAAAGTTAGTGACGTTGAGCTTGAATTCTTAACTGGTAAAGATTCAGTAGAAGATGAAGTGGCCTTGTTGCTGTGGCGGCCAACCTTGAAGCTTCTACTGGTCACCCTTGGTGAGCATGGTTGCAAGTATTACACTAAGGTGAGCCTTCACTCTTGGGCACTTTCATTAGAGAATATCATTTCTTTTAAAAAGAACAAAAAATGCCAATTTTTAATCTAAGAATTAACATTAAGCACTCTATAATCACTATTATATCCAAATAACATTAGAAGGCAAAAATATTCCTTTAGTTTCATTTTTATTCTTTGATAAGGATTTTTGGAGTTGGATCTCTTTATTAGAAGGAAGAGGAGATTTGGAGGATCATCAGGGCGTAACCAATATTAATTTTTAGGCCGGCAAAATCACAAAATGTCTAATTTTTAAGTATTGGGCAAAAAATGTATATGGAGGGAGGGTAAAATTACTAACCAATATTAATTTTTAGGCAGACAAAATCACAAAATGTCTAATTTTTAAGTATTGGGAAAAAAATGTATATGGAGGGAGGGTAAAATTACTAAATTCTCTAAATTACATTGAAAAATATTAAATTTTATTATGTATATAAAAGTCTTAAATTTCAGGGGGGCAATTGTCCGCCTTGAATAAACATGATTCCGCCTCTGTTCAGCATGGCTCATGATTTGAGTCTTCAGCACTGATTGGTCTGGTTGCCCAACTTGTAGGATTTCCGAGGGGCTGTTGATGCATTTAAGGTTAACCCAGTCGACACCACTGGAGCTGGCGATGCATTTGTTGGTGCCCTTCTCTCCAAAACTGTTGATGATATGTCTGTATTGCAGGTCAGCTATTGTATACTCTTTTGACTAATTATGTTTATGCGAATCAAATTGTACGAATTAGAAATTTTTTTTTAATAATATAATTTCAAAAAAAAAAAATCATTTTAGCATATTTGTTTGGAAGTAATTTTAATATGAACTTGAAATTGCCTAAATATAATTTGAAAAAAAAACAATTTTTTTTTATCATTTTGCGTTTATAAACCGAATCATTGTTGTGTTGGGGAACCTATCTCCAGGATTTAGTTACGGTGCCTTGTTTTTTGTCTTAATAGTTATGGGTTATTTTCAAAAATTGTTGTGTTGGGAACCTATCTGACATTGAGCAAGTTGTCTTGTGTCTATCAAAAGATTTAAAGGGCTGTAATTCTCAAAAATTAAATTATAGTAAAATCTGCATTTGCGACAATAGAATCGAACCACCATTTTGTTAGATCGCTACAAAAAGAGGTGCATAAATTAAAGTGTTGCTGAGATGAGAATTATTAAGTGGATTATTGGTTTTACACTCAAGAGACAAAATGCGAAACAAATATATCCGTGAAAGGATTGGTGTTGCTCCAACGTCAGAAAGGTTTGAGAGAATCGTCTTTAGATGATTTGGTCACATTAAACATCGACCATCCGATGTTCCGATTAGGAGAGTAGATAACTTGTCAAGAAAGATAGAAACAGACCTAAAATAAGTGGGGCATGCTTTATAAAAAAGGATCTTAATTTATTAGAATTAAATTAAACAATGATACTCATGGGAATGGAGAAAACCCCACTTAGCGAGAGAAAGGCATTTTGCTCTTGTTATTGTTGTTGTATTTTCTTTACTCCCATTGTTTAAATCAACGTTCACCTATTTGTGGAATTTTAAAATATCTGATTTCTTGTTACCTAATGGCATAAACCATCAAATATCATTTTTCATTCTCGTTGTTTCCATATTTCACTTTGCTCATCTTTTTTTTTTCTTGAAACAACTTTTATTTGATTTTTTGGCACAGGATGAAAAGAAATTGAGAGAAGTGCTCAGATTTGCAAATGCTTGTGGAGCAATCACCACCACCAAAAAAGGAGCCATCCCTGCTCTGCCCAGCCTCGCAGATGCGCTGGCGCTTGTGGAGAAGCCATAGAACATCTTCAACAATGCTCTGCCTTTCTTTCTCTCTTCGCTTGCGTTATAAAGCTTTATTGTAATGTTTAATATGCACTTGTGGTCATTATGGGGCTCTGGTTTGTTTCGTATGTGATTCTATGATTTCTTTCATATTTTGTATCAAATGTTTGTGTGATAAACTTTATTTTTTTCTGCAATAAATTTGCATGAGGTGGCTATTAAGGATTGTAAGATTTGAGTGAAAAGCTTATAGGATGGTCCAAATTTAGGAGGTTGCTTTTTAGAATTTGATTAGAGGGGACTTGATGATACCTTGAGTAGGTTTTTTCTATTAAATTTTAGGTAAGTGACGATTGATTCACTTCTCTAAGAATTATTATTAATGATAATTTTATCTTTAGTAATAGGTAATTAACCTATTTATATCTTTACATAGAACTACATGAATTTAGCTGATGTTAGGCTGCTATTAGTAATTGTTTGGAAAGATTAACCGTGTAGGTTGACAATAATTAAGCTTTAGCTTAGTTTTATAATTTGACTTGTATAAGTTTAGTAGTTTTGAAAATTATAATAAAAATTAAAGGGTGGGAGAAAATGAGATTTTTTTTTGTGTTATAAAAATGTCTATTTAAATTAATGAATTTTAATATAATTAAAAGCATTTATAATAAATTTATTTTGAAAGAGTTATATATATATATCAAAATACCTCATACAACTAGGGCTGTCTAAATGGTCGTTGTTCACGAACAGCTCTTGTTCGACTCGTTAAAAAACTCGTGTTCGGCTGTTAACGAGTAGAACACAAACAACACGAACAAAGATTTGTTCGTTCGTGTTCGGCTTGTTTTGGCTTGAAATACTACTAATCAATTAATGGCTCGTTTTGGCTCGAAATACTACTAATCAATTAATGTATATACATCTTCGATGAGTAGTATTTTTAAAAAAAATTAATTACTACAAGGCTACAAAAATTTATAATCAATTAAAAGTATTAATTAAGAAAATAGAATAAGATTATTAAATTAGATTTAAATGATGATTTAATATAAAAAGTAGTTTTTAAATCTTGCCAAATCTTTAACATCTTATGACTACGTGATTAGAGTTGTCAAAACAACTAATTGTTCGAGAACAGCTCGTGTTCGGCTTGCTAAGCAAACGAGTCAAACACGAACACATTTTTTAAGCTCGAAATATAAACAACCCGAATACGAGTTGAGTCTGGGCTCGCTCGTGTTTGACTTGTCTACACCCCTACGCCCGAATCACGAGGTGACCTTTAGATAAGAAGAAATGTGAATCACGGAGCGAAAGGATAGATTCGTAAATAGCAAAATTAGTAGGGGTAAACGCAAATCAGGGATTTCTACTTCATCTTCTCTTTCCTGGTTTCGTTGGATTCGGCCGTTCAGTTAAATCGTGTGGAGGTGGGGTTGACTCTTACCGTTTGCTATGTGAGATATAAAAAGGAAAGAATTAATCAAACATATTATTTTAGGAAACAATTAAGGAGAGAGAGTTAAATTAAAAGTTGCAAGATTTGAAATTGGGATTTTGGGGCTTCCAAAAATATATAATTGATTGGTTAGAAAATTCAAGTATTATTCTTCAAAATTATATTTTTTGCTGCCAATTTCCTTTTTTCCTTTATCACCTTGCTTTTCGGTTCTGTTTTTAGGGCTGCGTTGCTTTCCATTCCTCACAAGCCATTGGAAATTCTTCGTTCCTGCAATAATTGATAACGGTATTTGCGCCTTCATCTCCCTGCTTTCCTTGTTGCATCTCCAATGATGAAATAAGCATGCTTTATTTTCTTGTTAATTGTCTTTTGTGCTGGATTTTTGCATGTTTTTTTGGGATATTTGGATAGGTTTAGTGGCGTTATGGGAGTGGGTTCAAGAATCTTGGTGGTGGTTCCGGAAAAGAATAAAGTTTTTGCTTCAATTCAAGAGATTTGTTTTCTGGAAGTGCTAGGGTTTGGG